ATGTTTTTAAGGATCAGAACAATCCTGAACTAGTCAAAGCATTATTTTAAGGTTCACATTGAATCCGCAGAAATAAATTAAAATTAATATATCTTTATCCTTTATTATATTGAAATATTCCACAAAAAATAAGTAAAACTATTACCGATAAATTTCACAATATAATATTCAAATGTCTAAATAAATTTATAATATTCATCGCTTAAAAGTTAACATAATAAGCTAATATTCTATCATCATAGTATTCATGAAATAAATATGTAAATTATTAGTAGTTATGTATAAATATAATGCTAATACAAGCCAACAAAGGTCTTAACGCTTATCCAATTGATGAGGATCCGACTCATAATACCCCACGAATGACGTTAATTTGAATCTCTCTATGAATTGATGAGTAATTGGCAGTTACTTTCATACGTACTCTAAGCCTTGATTAGTCATAGTGTACTCCTACCTTAATCTTCTGAGATTCCTCTAAACCCAATTCACATAAATTTTTAGTTATTAAAAAAAAGACAAAAATAAAAAAAATAAAAGTTTAAACTGGTTGTAAAACTAGCTAGCAGCCCAATAATTAGCTTCCTTGGCTTCTTGATTTATCTTGTAATGTTTCAAACAAGTTGAGACAAGAGAATTCATGGGTTTTGACCAGTTGGATCCAATTTTGATATGAATGAGTTACATATAATAATAAATTAATAATTCTAGCTAGTAACTAAATATAACCCCAAAAAGAAATTTGATTCCATAGTTATATTATTATAATGAAGAAAATTAATACTTAGGAAAAATGAAGTGATATATATGTGTGTGTCCATGTTCTCCTAACATTTCTCTGCATCTCCCACTCCCACTTTCCCAACTTTCTTTCCGTTAAACAGAGCCCAGAAATTTTAGGAGAGATCTGGTGGCCTGCAACCTCTCCTCCGCCGGAGACGCTTTCTCTTACCTTTTCCCGTTGCCACTGCCATTGCCATGAACCTCTCTCACAACAACAACAACAACGTTAACCCTAACAACAACAATAATCAGGCTTGTGCTGCTTGTAAATATCGACGTAGAAAGTGTGCTCCTGATTGCATTCTCGCACCTTATTTCCCTCACGATCGCCAACGTCAATTCCTCAACGCCCATAAATTGTTCGGCGTCCGAAACATCACCAAAATCATCGAAAACCTCAACCCTCGCGACAAAGACAACGCCATGCGAACCATCATTTATCAATCCGACATGCGAGCTAATGATCCTGTCGGAGGTTGTTGCAGGTACCTCCAGGAGCTTCAAGCTCAGGTCCAATACCATCAAGCTGAACTCGATCTTGTTCTTCAACACCTCGCTGTTTTTCGATCCCAAGCTCATCATCATCAGGAAGCTATCGATATTAATAACGATGCCGATCATTTGAATCTGTGCAACCCTAATAATATTAGTCATTATCAGTTGGCTCAACAGGATCCGTATCTGATGGTTCAGGAACAACATCATCAAAACAATAATGGTGTTGCTTTGCAGCATCAGGACGATGTTAATTCTTGGGCCATGCAGGAATCCATAACCTTGTCGTTTCACGACAAGAACGGCGACGATGAGAGTGGTGGCGGTTATGTCGGCGATGAATGGTACAACAATGATCAGAAACCTTCGTCGTGTATGCTTGACAACATTAATTGTGAGGAAAGGAACGAGATTGGTTTTGAACCTGAGGAATTAGTGGAACGGAGGTTTGTTTTTCATATATATATATATATATATATATTTATGTATATTTTAATTATCGTAGCAAATTATAAGGATTCATCAATTTATTTACTGCACTATATGGATTCATCATCCATTATTGTGATGATATTATTATTTGTTTGTTTACTTGTGTATATCATATTATTACGTAAACTTGAATTTGTTTTTAACGTGATAAAGTTTGTCTTCTTCTTTTTCTTTTTTTTTTTACTGTTACGTGCAGTGATGAGGCGATCTTGTTCAAGATAGAAAATGCAGATGTAAATGAAGAGGTTAATTGCATTCAACAAGTTCAAGATCATGATCTAAAAGGTGCTGCAACCTTGTTCACCCTCACAAATTGCACTAGCTGATGGGAAATTATATATCTTACTTCAGGTTTCAATTTTGGCACAATTTTGTTTAAGATCATAGGAAGCAACAAAGCTTAGAAGGTGCTATAGTACATCTTGTAGAGAATTAAGCGTTATTTTTTTAATTAGTTCTTATTTCTATAGAATCAATAACATTATATGCCCTCCAACATGACAGATTCTTTAAAAGTTATTGGAAGTTTTGTTAGGTGATCGAATTCAGTGGGCAAAGTTAGATATATGCTCAGTTTTTCAATGTAAAATGAGACTTTTATTTAACATATATTTCTCTATAAATTTAATTTGACTTATTATTTGAAATGTGGGTGAATCTCTAGATAATATGCGCCCGCTGAATTAGATGAATTTTTGATATTGATATGTAGTGCAGCGTTGTTCTAAGAGTCTGAGGAAAAAAACTTTCATTAAGTTCATCATCAACACCACAGTAATAAAATAAATATCAACAAAGCCAGCAGAAGCTTAAATAATTCTTCTTCTTCCTTTAATTCTTCTCACATATATGAATTGCACATGGTTTTTCTTTAGGCAGCATAACAGTGTGACTGTTGTGTTACAAAAATATAATACTGATGCACGAACCTATAGTTTAGATAAATCAAAGTTTGATTTGCTTAACAGTAAAGCTACAAATAAATCTTAAAGTTTTCTTAGCATAGAAAAGAACCAGAAAGGCATACTTAATCCGTAGAAAAACTATGACTGGAGAAGGAAAATCATATCCCTGCTGTATGCTTGTAGTAGAAGTTGTTTGTGTGTGTGTGTGTGTGTGTGGGCGTTCGCGCACACTGGCGGCCGACAGCAACATATATATCTGCAACTTTTGTGTATGCTCTAGTCAAAAACTTTTGCGTGTGTGAGAGAATTAACATTAACTTCGGACAAGTTAATTAAGCTCATGTCATGGTATCAAAATAAACAATATAGCTACAGCTTTTAAGGAAATGATGAAGGCATGGAAGAACTGAGACGATAGCATAAATGTGAAGTTGTCTGGCTTCATCTCATCATCAAAAGTTCTTGAACCAAATTCTCACCAAGCCCATGCATATATAATTCTCCGCTGTGCATTTCATATGATCAAATACTAAATCCCCTTCCTTGATAATAACCCCACATTTCATATACACACTAATGAAACGGTAACCATGGATTTGCCTAACAAGGTTCTGAGTTTCAAACTCTGCACAAACTCATCATGAAATGCTAGCTGCAGATTGTCACATAGTATGATAGTGTTTGACCATTACATTGGCCAGGTGCATTTTCCTAATTAATAACAATTTTTCGTCCAACGCACAGCAATCAACAGACAAATTAAATGTGGTAGATGGATTACAGATTTCACCAAAAAATTTTAAGAGATCGATGTTGACAAGCCACAACGGGTACAGTGAGTCGGTGAAAGCTTTTAAACTTGATTGATGAGTTAGTGAGGGCATTCAAGTGACCACCATCAGATCAAAACACTTTAAGATAAGGAAAATTTTGATGCATGAATCGACTGTATAACTCGAGAACGTGTTTTCAAGGGGGAAAAAAACTTATATATATATATATATATATATATTATATTGCTAGCTCCCCATGAACATGATGTTAATGTTGATTATAGGATGATGGAATTTCTTCCCTTTATGTATGAATCTGCTATGTGCATGCATAATAATGAGCCTAATGTATTGATGAGCCCTAGACAATTTAATGCCGTGGCATTATATTGCAGTGTTGATGCTAGTGTTATGACCACTTAAATATAAGATTTCAAGTTTAAACTTGAGTGAAATAAGAAAATAGCTTTGAAAGAGCTATCCAAATTTAAGGCAAGATAATGCTTGAAATGAAATATCAATATCAAATATCAAATGTGGTATACATAATTATACAAGGTACAATATAATCGTAAGTTAGTCCCTCAAAGGGTAAAATAGTCTAGATTTTTATTAAGTTATACGAATTACCCTCAACCCAAATGAAACTAAAGAAGAACCACTTGGATTTACTTTTTGTAAGAAGCTCCATCACATCATTTATCAAAAAAAGAGTAAGGATGCTCTCTTGGAAGTAATTGTACGTAGCCAGGAGGAGAGGTATGTTTTGTTTATAAATATGTATTGATTGGTAGAAGAGAACACTTTGAATTTGATATCCCCCTACTTAAATCATTATTATACTACTTTTTAAACGCCAAATTAAACTTGGTGCTACCTACCATTAACTCCCAAGTAACAACTCATTAATGATTTAATCATATCTTATCATCTTTTTGATTAAGCATCATCATTATCAATCTAGTTGTATGAAAACTACAGTTAATTGGTGGTTTGAGCTACGCGACAAATTACATTCAACATCATTAGTATAAACTGTGGTTCCTATAGCTGAACCAAAAAAATTAAAATCAACATCATAAATTCATATTAAATTAATTTGTATCACCAAAAAAAAAACCAACCAAATAAAACATATCAAAATAGACTCATTCAGATGGTAAGAACAGGATGGGTATAAATGAGTAGAAATATTATTGTCTTGCATTAAAAACATATAGATATTTATAGCTTATATCGAATTACATAGCGTATGTATCATAATTGACCTTAAAAATTATGCACTTATAATATTTTAATTAAAAAAATTAATATTATATTAATTTATTCAATAATATTTGTAACAAATCAAATTAATTATATCCACGCCATAAACAACAGATTAACTCATTCTTCAAATCTTGTGTAATAATATACTGTTAAATATTCATACAAGGAGGATTGAATACAGAAATCGTCAAATTTAATTGGGGACAAAAATAAAACGTGAAAAAGAAAAGGAGGATTTAAAAAATAGTACTTTTCTCTTTTTTCAAAAGAAAAATAGAAATCTTCATCCGATGCACCATTTCCAAATCTTGAACCTAACGTGAACCTTGCATTTGGCGCCAGAAGTCGCCGCCATTGCCTGTTTCTTCGCGGCGGCCGGAACCGTAACCCTGATTCCTTCACAAGATACCCGTAGTCCAACCTTGGGTGTCTTCAACCTTCCCATCTTCGCCTTCACCTTCGTGTACAAATTCACCTTCATGTCCAATCCATTTTCTCTCTGCAAATCAGCCTTCAGTCGGCTAGCAGATTCACCGTCCAGTACTGCACCATTGCTCGTAATCAAAGCCCTCAAGAGCGTCGTGTTCTTCTTGCCGTGCTCGAATGACGGCATTCTCCCGTCGCCGACGCTGACGTCTCCAGAGATTACGGAAATTGAGATCCGTTCGAACTGGAAGGCGATTTTCTTGTTAGGGTTTGTAGCGGTGATATTGAGTTCGAATCTGGAGTTAAGTGAAGAGGAGGAAGTCATGTTGAGGTATGAGAGTTTGAAGGAGTCGACGGTGAAGGAAGGGCTGTGAGGTCGATAAAGGAGGTAGAGAACGATGCCAGCAACGCCGGTGAGGAATAGGAGGATGAGAATGACGAGGAGGAACCAGAAGCAGAAGGTGCAGCAGCGTCTGCGGTGGCTCTGACGGTGGTACAGGTAGGGCTGAGGACGGTAGGCAGGTCGAGTGGCGCCGTAGAGCTGGGCTTTTGTGGCAGGAAAAGATGGCCTAGCTCGGCCGTAAACTGCAGTGGCAGGCTTCGCCGAAGGGTAGACCCTGTCCGCCATGGTGATCGGAGGAGTGGCTGGAATCGGCAAATGCAGAGAAGAATGAGTGATTATAGTTTTGAGAATTAAGAAAGAAGGGGGCTTATGAGTGTGGTTTTGTGGGATTATATTTAATAGAGAGAAGGTTAAGAACAACTGATTCTTGTTAATTAGTCACAGGTTTAAGTATATAATTATAATCTGATACTCAACTCATCAGTTCTTGGCCAATAACAAAACAGTGATGTGGGAGGTGGTTGGGGCCGTTATAGTTAAATTTAGGATTTTTAAGTGCTCAAAATTAAGTTATTGGATCAGCTTTTGAATTTGGATGAAAAAAAATCTATTGAAAGATGGTAAAATAAACTTCACTTTAAATCATATTTTAGGATTTAAAGTTAAAATGTTTTTACTCCCTGCATGGTCATTTGTTTCTTATAAGGAGTTTTGGAGCAAGTATTTAATGGCTTGACTTTGTTTAAGAAAACTCTCTCTATTCAGGTCTCCCATCCAACAAGAAACTCACTTTTATCATTTCTTTTATGAGGTATTTTTAATATGTTTCATTAGAACAAAAAAGCTGGCAAAAATTTTAAAAAAACTTAAATTTTATTGAATTTAATAACTTTTCAATTTTAATATTAGTTAGTAGAATATATAATAAGAATAATTTTGTATGTTCATATAATGGATATTTAATGACATGATTTATTAAAAAATGAAAAATATTCCCTTTTTATCTTATAAATAGGATGAGGTGAGTAAATCAATCATCACTTTATTGGTGATCAAGCGCCGACAATTTTAAATAATTAATTACTACCTCCGGTCATTGATATAAGACCTCTTTTGACTTTTATTTTGATCATAAATATAAAACCCCAATTTACTTTATATTTTATATTTATGTATTTTTTTTCAAGATAGTTCTTCTAGTAATAGTAGTTTTAGCTAATACACTTGAACAAGGATAGTTTAGAAAATACAACACCTATTTATTACAAATAATTAACTTAACTTATTTTCTTAATATATTCATATTAATCAACTAATTCTTATATTTAGGACCGGAAGTAATATTTGGCAATGTATATAGTATATGCAATGAAAATGAAGGAAGCACCTAACAGTAGGTTTAATTAATGATTAATTTCCATTAATATTCAATTTAGGGGCGAACGAAATGGAATGCTTACCTTCCATTTACTGATTTTAGATTTGAAGCCCCTCGATCATTTTCAAAAAAACATGTAGAGTGATGTCCGTTAGATTTATTTTCCCGTTAGTAACTTACTTGATAGATCTTCCCTACCTACACGCCTACCTTCATTGTCCTCTCGATCTATCCCATTCCCAAGTTAATGGAAGTAGGAAATTTTGTTGAACTTCCATTCATTAATTAACAATGCTCATCTGGTCTTATTATAAGACAGTCAAAGAATTTTTTTTAATCATTAATATAAGTTGTCTATTAAATTTACTATATAAACCTACCATTTTATTTATAATTTATTATTTTATGGACTATTTACTCCGATTCATAATATAACAAATTAATTAAATTTTTTTGCAAATCAAGGAATGTTACTCAAGTTATTAAATTTGTTTTAAATTGATAAAAGTTATCTCTTGTACTCTTATTAAAGAATATAATTAGAAGTTTCCCTCTTATCTCTCTCACAATCAAAGTTAAAAGTAAAAAAACAATCATTAATTATCTTGTCAACCTCTTATATTTTGGACCAGAATTTTCTTTTAATCAATTTCTTATATTATAGACAGAAAAAATAGTTTAATTTTTTTGAAATACTTATTAATATTTTAAATTTTAAGACAGAATTAATGAAATTTAGGTTTTTTTTTTTAACACTCTTATTGACCTCTCTAAGAGTGTTTGAGAAACAGCTTCCTCAGGAGTTTTTATTGACTCAGAGAATGGTGGCTTCACGTTGAGTATCCCAAGTGATGCAATCCTATAAAGATTAAAAACAAAAAACAAAACAACTTGTTACTGAAAGCAAAGTTTTGCAATATTCTGTAATCAATTTTGTTTTTGCAACAAATTTTTGGTGACAAATAATCCCTTCATGGGCTGTTTAACACCGAAAGAACAACAAAAAGAATAGCCGACTGAAAATTATAAGAAGCCCATTTATGTGGGCCCGACGTGGACTAAAATCTCGGCCCAACTCCATACAAACAAAAGGACTCAGATTATTTCACTAAATCAACAAATTAATGTTATGTTGGAAATAAGGAAGTCATAGATGATCAATATATTTTAAATTAGCACGTAATGATAAATGATACGATAATTGAGAAATTTAATTTAGGACGCTGAAAATATATACAGGGATTGAAGAAAATAACAAACATGTATTTAAGGAATTTGAGGTTAAAGTGAAAGAAATGGACAAAAGAAGTAAAAGATTTGGTAGCTGTCATGTTATAGAACGCATTAACGTGAAATTCCTTCCACCAACCACCGGTATCAGTAAGTTCCTAGCTACCCCCCAAAGTTATCTTTTTGATCTAAAAATCGGCCAAAATATAGATTTTATTTAAATTCTAAGATGCAAATCCAGATGGATAAATATATACTTAAAATCATATATTAATTTAAAGGCTTAATATCATATTTAGCCTTTGAAATTTGAAACTAATAATTTTGGTTCATAAAATTTGATTTCATTTTAATTTTAGGTCCTCAAAATCAAAACAAGTGGTTTTGGTTTTTAAAATTTAATATTAATATAATCTTTAGTTTCTCAAGTTTGTCATCATTTTAGTTTTAGTCACTCAAATTTCAAACCATAGGTTTTGGTATCTCAATAGGCAAAATGGTCCAACTTTTTGATGGATTATGGGGATCAATATTTTAAAGGAAAATAAACTTGAAGAATCAAAAAGAGAATAAGCTTGAAGGACCACAATTTGTATTAACTCTAAAATTTAATTTGATTTTGGTTTTGATCCTTGTTTGAAAGATAAAAAAATCTTAAATCAAATCGAAATTAAAGTCAAATTTTACAAAACCAAAACTAAAATGAGATCAAATTGTAAGTACGTAACTATGGGTTTTAAACTTTAAAAATTAAAATTAAAATGGAATCAGATTTTAGATATTAAAAAGTATTAACCTTTGATAAAATCATACCATATCATGCAATTGAGGGTCGATATATAAAGCCACTAAGCCAGATTAGAATTCAGCCTTATCATTTTCATCTCTCAATCCTGTCTTTTACTGTCTCTCTTATCTTATGGACTAAACATCTGAGCACCAATCTTTAAAATCGAAGTTGATGACCCACGTGGAAGTATCTTGTCAAATGATGTGATTTGTCGTTTTGCTTTTAATATGCCACTTGTCTTCTTTACCATCCTCACCAAGTTTAGTCATACCCTAATCATTTGACTTGTATAAATTCTAAAATAAGCCATATGAGTTATTTATATGATAGAAAATTCAATGATTTGTAATCATAAATTTTATACATGTATATATATTATAAATTCTGAAAATATCACTACTTAATCTATTTTAAATAATTTATCCAATAATTAAATAAGAGTTCTTGATCATCATGTCCTAGTTAAAGGCAGGAAAAAAAAAAAAGAAGCAATTTCTTGTAGTTGTCGTTTTTTTCCTCTCTTGAAACAAAATAAGTGAGACTGTGTTAGATATTTTGCCATCAATGTCATTGCTTTTGCTTTATAGTTAGCTATCTGAAAAGGGGTTTAGTTCCCAGCGGGAATCACATTATCAACTTTTCAAACTAAAAACAAATACGATATATTATACTATTAAATAAAGATACGACCTTGGGTTTGATTGGTACCTCCAAATTAAATCTTTATGGACTGATCATAAAAGCTAAATTTGTTGGTTAAGTAAATGTACCTAATTGCATCTTGCTTTAAGTTAATTATTATTATTATTGTGTGGATAAACTAAAAAGAAAGTCAAGCATTATGATAACTTTTGTTTTATGAGCAAGCATTATGATGTTTACTCAAACAGTTAACATTTTTTATATGATTTATTCATAATATACTGTTACAGTTTTAAGTTTTTTAATCAACAATGTTTAATTTAAATAGCTTGAATTTGAGTTTTTTTTTTGCCTGTTTACATTTTTTACCAAACAAATTATGGACTTGATAAAATTTAAAAATAAAGAAAGTAGAGAAAAAAGTTAAGATTTGGATACTTGGTGTTTTTAGTAGCATAATTTGAATCATTGGTTAAATATAGACAATGTAGATTAATTGTCTCTTAACACGGAAAAATTGGAAAGTTTTTCAATTGAGAGATTTCTCCCCCAATCTATTTCAACTAAGAGTATTTAAACTCGCGTTTGACTAAAGGTAGAAATAAGTCAGGTGGTTTGTCAGAGGCCAGTAGTCTGACCTGTAAATGGCATGGCCTGACCTGGTCTATTTAGATATTAGAACAGATTCAGGCCTATAAAAAGGCTTATTTACTTTATCAGGCCTAATAATAAGCCTATTAGGCTTATTAGGCTACCTGAGCCTATTATTTTTCTTTTTTTAGGTTAAAATTGCAAATGGACAGAAAGGAATCTATTATTTTGATTGGTTAATTGAGAAAACTATACCCACATAAATATGTTATCCAAAACTCATAGCATGTTTCGTTTCATTTCTATTCTCTATAATAAAAATAATTAATGTATGTATAATGACACATATTTGAATAGAGAAAGAAAACATAAGTACATTAAAAAAATAAGGGAAAATTAATCTTTTGGTTCCTTAACTTTTAACTCGGTTATAACTCAATCCCTCAAGTATGACTCAGTTCCTCAACTTTTAACTCGGTTGAAATTCAATCCCTAATTTTTTTCTATTTAATAAATTAATTCATGTCATGTACAACTCACCTTGAATCATCACCCAATCACCCTATACGTGCTGACATGGGTTTCAAATAAGCTTTGCATTCATTAGCTGCGATCCTCCCCTGTTTCTTACTACTCATTTTCTTTCTTCTTCTCAGAGTCAAATGTATTATTTACAGTATATATGCAGTGAAAAATTACACACCCGCCCAAATATATCAAAATTAAAGTGTGGGTGGGGGAGTTGTAATTAAATTTATGAATGGAGAGGCTATACATATAGTAGATGCAGTGGGTTTAACATGACATGGAAAAAGATTTACAAATAAGATATTATTATTCTTCACAATATCTAAGCATCATGCCAAGAACTGATATAATAACGATAAAAATCAGGCGAAAAGCGAAGCTGAAGCTCATGGAATGGAATTGAAGGGACATGCTAAGCTGTGCCAATGCAATTCCATCCTTTTATTGGTGAGGACCGAAAGAAGAGAAGAAAAATATGTTCCTTTAATTCAAGCGCAACTCCCCCCACTTTGATTTTGATTGATTTGCGTGTGTGTAATTTTACACTGCATATATGCTGTAAATTACACCTTGGCCTCACGAATGATTCATAGAAGAAGGAAAATGATAATGAAACAGGGGAGGGTCTGACTAATGATGCAGGCTTATTTGGAAGCCATGTCAGCATGTATGGGGTGATTGGCTGTTGTTTTAAGGTGAGTTGTATATGACATGGATTAATTTATTAAATAGGAAAAAAAATTAGGGATTGAGTTTCAACCCAGTTAGAAGTTGAGGGACTGAGTCATATCGAGTCCAATTTGAGGGACTGAATCATAATTGAATTAAAAGTTGAGGGACTAAAAGATTAATTTTTCCAAAAAATAAAAGCAGCATTCATTTTTTTTGGGTCAAACAGCATCATTTGTTTATTTGATCTATGCTTTTCATATTAATCTTATATAGAATATATATATACAGAATTGACCTATTATGTTTTAGATTGTATATATGTGTGTTTAATCTAATTCTTATTATAATAGTTGCTTAATAAATTTAAAAAGTAAATAAATGTAACATATTTTTTTAAAAACAACCATGTGTAACAACAGATTCAAATATTATTTTGTTAGTAAATTAGTTTGAAAAAATGATAAATTTAAAATATAAAGGGGATTAAGGGCGTTTTATATTTTAAACTAGATCTAGTCATCAACTAATTTTTATACTAGAAATGGGATGAAGTGATATTTTTATACCAGAGTAAAATTTTGTTTTCTAATAATTTTTCATATTTGAATTTTTTTTGGGGCCTAAGGAGACACGTTTTACAAATTGTGTTAATTTGATAATTTTATATTTTCTGTTTGTATTTTAAATAAATTGGGTTGAATTATTATAATTTTAAATTGATTTATGTGTGTTTAAAATTTGTTAAAAAAAAGCCTCTTAACAGGTCACAGGTCAAACCAGGTCTGATTACAGGTCAAGCTTAAGTCGAACAAAAAGCCTTTCACAGGCTGGAAGCCAGGCTCAAGCCAATAGGCCTCACCACAGGCCGGGCCTGTTAAGGGTGAGGTCTGGTCTGACCTGGCCTGTTTTCACCTCTACGTTTAACTACAATTTCATCCCATTTCAAATTCGTGTTTATTGATTAATTCTTGATTACATCACTTGTATTTTTTAACGTTACATACGCTTATAGATTTAAATTTCATTTTTAGTTCTATCATAAATTTTACTTCTGTCTTCTAACTTCATTTTATCTAGTTTGTCCTAACCTAATTAATACTTTCAATTTTTTAAATAATGAGTCATGCAAGAGTTCTCTATCAACCATCTTAATTTAGTGGCGATAGTGGAAAGATATTTGAATAGTAAATAAGAGTTGGTCTAGTTAGTAAATAGTCAGCTCATGATCTATAAGATTATAAGTTCGAATTCCACTACTGATGTGAAGATTTTGTTGGTTAGCAATCTCTAAGTATCTATCTGTAAGCGCTTTGTGTGTCTAAGCCTGGAGACATGCTTTGATTCTAATGAGCTCTTGGAATTTAACTTATCTAAACTTTTTATCCACAAAAATATATATTTAAATATTTAAAAAAATAAAAATAAAAATTAATTATAGTTGGGTTAAGTAGAAGTAACTCAAATTTTTAAAATTAAATTAAAAATTTAAATTTTATAAATAAGAAAAATATTGAGAGAATTCTCTATGTTGGGATGGCATGCTCGGATACGCTCCGATTCCGATCTTATGAGTCATAAGATAGTTATTAGAAAACGAATATAAATAAATTTTTTTACTAGCAAAATATAAATAAAAATTTAATGATTAGAAATCTAATATAGGAAAAATGATAAAAAAGAAACTGAAAATTTGTAAATGTTAAATAAAAAATTTCAAAACAAAATTTTTTATTATTTACAAATTTAGTATTATCAATGTTTGAGATTTAATACCTTTCAGCTTTTTTTTTTTCTCGCTTTAAGGAGCAGCTCTGCCTTACTAGTCAAATGCGTTATTGATACAACTTTCTCGTAGTCAAATAAGGAATTATTGAAGGATTGTTAATTTATTACAATGTAACTGATGAAGTGTTACGTTTACGTGTCATTCTTAACCCCCTTCTCTATCTCTCTCTGTCTCTCTCTTCATCATGCCAGCTTCCACAGGTTTAACCCCACCAACTCGTTTAAAGAGAAATCATTGTGCTTTGCTGCTTCAGAGTGTAGCAGTGGACGAGCATCGCACTCTGCTTTACTTCGATCTGTTCTTTAAAGAACGCTAACACTGTCCTTTCACATTTCTCATGTCTGCAATTTAGCTCTTCTGATAAAAAAGGCGAAAACTTTGGTGTCTCCCACCAAACCATTCTTCTGCCATTACGCATCTGTGATCTTCTTTCTCACTCCTTTAACTCCCATTGTGCGCCTGCTTTAAATGGTAGATTCAACTCATGGCTGTCATTTACTGTGATCTTCACGTTTTAATTCAGCATATCCTCTCTCCGCTTTCACTCACTCCCTTTCAATCTTAGACAGAATTTCAGAATTGATCAGAGATAAATGGCGCTGGAGCTGTTGTTTTTCCTGATAATTAAGCTACATTTAGTTGTCAGTGCTACACATTTTCATGGATATGAAGGTATTGGCTTAATTGAGGTGTTATCTGACTTAGTTTTTGCAATGGGTGTGTGTGATCCGTTTGTGTAGTGAGTAACTTAGGGATATCAATGATGAATGTAAAATGTGATTCAGATTTTGAACATGAGTGCTTTGTTTGCTCGGACAAGTGTTTCTCTGGGTGAACAAGTGGGAACTCGGAGATTAGTCCAAAATTAACTTTTTCAGGATATTTGTTTGGTATACATTGTTCAGTAGTCATTACAGTTGATTTCTACCACAAATCTTGGTGTCTGCTGTCGTGTCCATTGTCGTTTCGAAAAAGATCCTCTCCCTGATATTGTTAGTTAATGAGTTTCTTGTATTTTCTTACCTATTCAGTTGAAATAAAACTAATGAAGATCAAACCCTTGATCTTGTCAGAAACCATACTGGGATAATCTTTATCCTGAGTAAAAGAAAAGTTTAAACCATCTGTATATAGCTGAAGACCATCCTTATACACAAAATGGATTAATTGATGTCAAGGAACATATGGTTTTAAGTATAATATAAATCTTTTCAGTAATGAGTGTAATTTTTGTTCACAGACAGTGTGTGTGTGTGTGTTTTTGTTTTTTTGGGGGGGGGGGGTTAACAGTGATCCTGATGTGTTTCAGAGTATGAACTGGAGTTTTTTGGTTGCATGAGGGGGAAAAAGTAGCATGGGTATGGAAAATTATTATGATTATGCCATGCCTGGGTTTGTATTACCCGGTCACATCTTCAGGACTGTGAATATTTTTAGTCTTTTCTACAATCAATGCAAGTGTTCTAGTATAGTTAAGAAAACTTGGTCAATGAATTATGCTCTTCTGATGTTAAGAAACTTCAGGGTTGGCCAATACCTATACCAGTCACTTTATGGGGAATGAGTATTCAGAAAATTTCATTTGGGGGGGGGGGGGGGGAATCTTCAGCACCAATGTTTTTGTCTTGTCGCCCCCTTGCTATTTGTCTGAAATTTTCTGTTCTCATTCATTTTTCATATTTTATGTGAGACTTAATCTCGGCATGGATAAATAATGATCTATATGATAATTATATGTTCTGTTTTTCCTCTGTAGGCATCAATCAACACCACTCCAGAAGCCACGCAAGTATTGCTCTTCCCCCAACCAAGTCATCTTATGGAGTTCCTGAAAGTATTGCACTTCCACCTTCTAAGTCATTATCTAAGGCTCCTATAAAGGAACGGACACATGGTTTAGTAGGTCCTCCAATATTACATCATATGCATCACCATTCCAGAAGAAAGTTCAGTAAACCCGCACCAGAGCCAACTTACTCAGTTCATCCACCTGCCTACAGTCATCAAGGTTAGATTCTGATTAAAGAACAGAACAATTCTTGTGTTAAATTAATTCATTTTGGCATTAATTATTAATATAATTGTCATTTATTCTGTAAACTCAAAGGTATAGGTCCTTCTGTTTTCCAACCACAACCTCCTATCTCTTCATCAGCAGGCTGGAAATTACCTGCGCCTGCACCATCACCAGCAGGTCTATCAGGCCACTTGAATGGTATGAAAAACACCTATTATGACCTTTGCTATTACCTGTATACTTATACTTTATCTTCCATTATGATTGATAGGTATCTCAGTTGGCTTGTTTCCTTTGTCCATTAGTGCCCTCTCCTTCACCGGGAACTACACCTCGGGGTTCGCCATTGAGGAAGACGAAGACTCCACCAAGAGGACCTGTCTTGGGTCTGCCACCTCCACCTCCCAATAAGGGTACTTTCAACTTAATCTACTACACAGTTTGTCCCAGAAGATTATTTATATTATGTTAGTGTCTTCTTTTCTACTCAACCTAAGAAATTCTGTGATGTTAACTTTACCTGTAGACTGTATATGGGTGACTTGCTCAGAGCCCTTCACATATGCACCTCCTGGATCACCTTGTGGTTGTGTATGGCCACTTCAAGTTAAGCTTCGCCTTGGTATTTCAATATACAAGTTCTTTCCTTTGGTCTCGAAGCTAGCTGAGGAAATTGCTGCCAGTGTTTTACTGAATCATAACCAGGTTCGCATTGTGGGAGCTGATGAAGCTAGTCAACAACTGGAGAAAACTGTTGTTCTTGTAAACTTGGTACCCACAGGATCAAGATTTGATGACGCAACAGCATTTTCAATATATAAGAAGTTCTGGCACCGGGAGATCCACACGGATGCTTCCCTTTTTGGTTCCTGTGAAGTACTTTATGTCCATTATCCAGGTTATATTGATTTCCAGTTTCCTTTTACTTTTTATATTTTTTTATTTTGTAAATTATTTAGTTTTATTAATAGATTTCCACATTGGTTCTTACTCTTCATTAACATATGCACAGGTCTTCCACCTTCTCCACCTTCAGTTCCCCCAAACATTGATAGCCCATTATTCCCCGGTGATGACAACAATGGAACAATGATGAAACCTTTGGGAGTGGCTATACCGAGGAAAGCAAAGCCAGGGAGTGGAAAAACTATGACTTTAGTAATTGTGCTGTCATCTTTTACAGCTCTTATTATACTTGTTGGATTTGCATGGCTTTGTCTAACGAGATGTGGCCCTTGTGTTCATGAGAGTAAACAAATTCCAAACGCAATTCCATCCTCTTCAAAACTATCAGGTAAAACTAATTATCTATTCATTCATCTCTTTTGGCAACAAGATACATTGCCATGCTGGCACAGTTTTATCTGTTTATTCCTAAAAATCATTTTGAAGCATCTTAGTTATTTAAATTTCCTTTTACTAGAAATGCTTTAGATATGATGCATTCCTAGTTCATCCTTCATTTCTAGCCTTCTGATTTTTCTTGATCTTTTATTTTCAAGTCTCCATCTTAGCTTATCAATTTAAAGTTTCAAATTTTTTTAGTTTTTCCTATTCTTTTTTTCCCCCCAAACATTTGGTTGCATCAGTTTAAATACATAACTATATTTGCACTTAGCAGGGAATGCCAGGTCTTTGACTAATCGAAACATGCCAGGATTTGGTTCAACAACCTTAAGTTCTAGAACAATAACTTATACAGGATCTGCCAAGAGTTTTACTCTGAATGACATAGAGAAAGCAACTAACAACTTTGATGCGTCAAGAATATTAGGAGAAGGGGGCTTTGGGCCTGTTTATAAAGGGGTTCTATATGATGGAAGGGATGTGGCTGTGAAGATTCTCAAGAGAGATGATCAGCGTGGTGGCCGTGAATTCTTAGCAGAAGTTGAGATGCTTAGCCGTCTCCACCATAGAAATTTAGTTAAATTGATAGGTATATGCATAGAGCAACAGAGTCGGTGCCTAGTCTATGAGCTTGTCCCTAATGGAAGTGTGGAATCCCACTTACATGGTAATCAAAAGCTAAGTTCATGGGCGTTACCCACACTTTTAGAACCAAAATCCTTGGCAATTCTTCATATGCTAACTTTTGAGTTCTTCATATGTTCACAGGTGCCGACAAAGAAACTAATCCACTTGATTGGAATGCCCGGATGAAGATTGCACTTGGTGCAGCTCGCGCCTTGGCTTATCTGCACGAAGATTCAAATCCATGTGTCATTCATCGGGACTTTAAATCCAGCAACATCTTGTTGGAACATGATTTTACACCCAAGGTTTCAGATTTTGGATTAGCAAGAACTGCCCTGGATGAGGGAAACAAGCACATCTCCACACACGTTATGGGAACATTTGGGTAATAAATGTCATCCCTCTTGGCCTTCATGTTAAATTTTTTGAGCATTGTCATGTATGTGATAGTTAAAAAGTAAACAATGATCTCATTTAGATTCAATATCTCTTAGTTTGATGGACCATTGAATCTTTTATAAGGTGGGTGCTTTACCCTTTTATGGTCATTTTGTTAACATGAGAAATAATTTAACCTTGCTGATATATTGCTTTGCAGCTACCTAGCACCAGAATATGCAATGACAGGCCATCTTCTGGTCAAAAGTGACGTTTACAGTTATGGAGTTGTACTTCTTGAGCTCCTAACTGGAAGAAAGCCTGTAGATTTCTCACAACCCCCAGGTCAAGAAAACCTTGTTACTTGGGTTCGTCCACTTCTCACAAGTAAGGAGGGTTTACAAATGATCATAGACCCGGTTATAAAGCCTGAAATCACTGTTGATTCCGTTGTAAAAGTGGCAGCAATTGCATCAATGTGTATTCAATTGGAAGTCTCCCAACGCCCATTCATGGGTGAAGTTGTTCAGGCTTTGAAGCTGGTATGCAGCGAGCTTGAGGAAACAAGCACAAGAAAATCAAGGAGTTTCCGAGAAGAGGGCCTCCAAACTAAAGTAGATGAACAACCTTCAAGAATTTCAGCTGAGATAGTGGATTTTCCAGATCACGAGACCAAAGTAACATTATCAACGTCAGAGTTTTTCAGCACATCAGGCCAGTGTTTTGAGTCATTCGGGAGGCATTCCACTTCAGGGCCTCTCACTACAGGAAAGAAAAAGCAGTTCTGGCAGAATCTGAGTTTGTCTCGAGGGAGCATGAGTGAGCATGGGTCTTCAGCTCAACGATGGTCTGGTTCTCAGTAAATTCTCAGCAGCATGATTTCAATGTTGTTTCTCTCAGGTAGGCAGTGCCTACCATGTTATTTATAGGTCATACTTGCAAATGAGAAAGAGTAAATGTACAACTTAGATGTGATGGAGCCTCTTAGAACTTGTGTGCCTACCTTAGTTGTGAGTATGGTCCATCAATAACATTGTAGACACGGCCTATTGAGCTTTTGAAAGCAACTACGAGAAACATGTTCTTTTTTTTTTTGGGTCAAAAAAGAGAAACATGTTCATTGATGACTACTTTTTGAGTGAGAATTAATGACTTGTTTTTTATTCTAGAGTAGTATTTAAGAAGTTTTATCCGAGCTTTGTGAATTGAAAGTATCACAGATCATGTATCACCTTTCAAATCAAACTAGTGATTTATCCTCTGTGAATCACACATAAGTATATGTGATGTTGATCTCTAAACAGGATATATGAGTACACTTTGCAATTGTTCGACAAACAGGACCCCAACCAAAACAGAAGAAAGTAATATCACACCAAAATGATTTGTCCCGATCTTTGTTTAGTGATGATCACTGTTTACTGACCATTACAACAAATATATACCACATCAATTTCCATTGTTCCAACTTACACAGTTCCTCTCACGCCATCATACTGCACTAATCTTCCCTAAGCTGATTTCCGCAACCTATCCCTCAAAATCTTCAGTCCCATGTACCTGTGATATACATAAATTGATTAGTTGACAAGATATGGATAGCATAAGAACCGAAATACTTTTTGTGGATGTCTACTGCATATTATTGGTGCCCGAAATGGTATAACTACTTTATTGGTAGGCCACACTAGTGCCCTGGAGCCGAATTGGTTCACGGAGTATGTTTAGCAGCTACTTATGTTTTCGCGTGTTAAACTATATGTGTATCAAAATATTTCTTGATGGAAATCTAGTGCATATTAAAGGCTCCCTAAGTGCTTTAGCTTTTATTGAAGCCCCACCAAATTTGTGCTAACAGCTAAGTAAGCAGGCTTTGAAATATCTGTTTACATGTAATACATGCACATGCATATGCACACATTTAGATAAAAAATATATGATCAAGATTAAAACAGAAATATTTAATTTTAAAATTATTTTTCTAATAAACTTGAATTTCAACTTTGATCTTAAACGATGTTTAATGATTCATCTTATTTCATACAACAAACGACTCCTCTCAATATATGTCTCTGATGGGGAAGTTTATTGCAAGATATATGTATTACTCTATGTTAAGGTCACCGTGTACATACCTGCCCATCATCATGACAGTGGCTTGAGGATTAGTCCCTGGTGATTCTGTAAATGTTGAGCCATCCACCACTCGTAGCCTGTCAACTCCAAGAACCTTATAATCAGAATTAACCACCTTCCCCATGTGGCATCCACCATGGTAATGCCAGATTGTAATCACCGTGTCTCTGCAAAACTGCTCCAGTGACTGCGTGTCATTTAGATGCTTGGGTATGAGGTTCACATTGGCCTTCACGGTGAGGTTAAGAAGTTTTTCTGTGGTTTGTTTGGGACACATGGTGTAGTTTGTGAAGTGCTCTGACTGCACAACCTTAGTGGCTATTCTGATACCCTCAACACAACGTTGGAGATCATAGGGGTGACTGAAATAGTTGAAGGTAACAAAAGGGTTGTCTTCTACATTGGTGTTGTTTAACTTGAGCTCACCTACAGACCAAGGGTTGGCCACTTTTGACAAGATGAAACCTCCCCTGAATGCTTCAACCGGGAGATCTCGCTTGTTCTTGATAAAAGCTTGAACAGCTTCTGGGGATCTTTGCTTGGGAGGGATTGTGGAAAGCTGGCCAATCTGAGATATCATCCAAAAGGAAGAAGAATTAATTCCTACGATCTGTGTAGCTTGAAAGTGATTTGGAAGCAAAAGACATCAGATAAGATACTGTAGTAGTGAAAAGGCAAGAACTGAGTTCTATTCATATTTTCACTCTTGGCATTAGTACTCTCTTAGCTCGGAAACACTAACTTCAGAAAATATCAAAAGAGTTGAGCCCAAGTTTCTTTTTATTTTTTCCCCCTCATTTCGTTTAGTAAATTCATCAAATATATTTATATTGCATGCATACCTCAGCAGACAAGATTCCATGGTGACAGTGAATGCTTTCGTTGGACTGACTGAACCCACAGCTAGCCTCAATGTACACTCCGCGTTTAGTGATGCCCACAGTCTCAATGAGTGACTGATAAACTGGTCTATTGGAAGGAACAAAAATGGTGTTCATGGGGTTATCAGCCATGCCTTGCCCAACAAAGGGGTTATCAAGCACCACAGGGATCTTAAAGTCCTGAAGGTGCTCTTTTGGGCCAATCCCACTTAGCAGAAGCAGTTGAGGAGTCCCAATCGCACCACTAGATACAATCACTCCATTCTCCCTTCCATTTCCCAGATTTGCCTGATGGCTCTTCCCATTCTCATCTTTGAATATCACTCCCACAGCTCTTGGCCTCTTACCTGAACCAATCCGAACTTAACTTTATCATACATATTATGAACTTGTGTCATGTCGAATCTGGTTTTCTTAACATCACAAGTATGATAAGCGAGTAAAGCGTACCTCGAGTATCAAACACGATTTTGTGGACAGTGGCGTGGGTGAGAACGGTGAGTTTGTGGGGATTGGCAGAAGCGAGAAGTTCAGCAGAAGTGTGGCGACGACCGAATCGATCAAAGATGGTGCCACCAAGCTTGGTGCCATAAATATGATCGAAGGTGAAACCGTTGAAAGGAGAGATTCCTGCGTCCAGGAGGCTGTCTCTTACTGCTCTCTGAAACGCAGAGAACAGAGGCCTGTGCACTATTTGCTTCTCTACCCACTCGTATGACTCGTTCACCACCTTCGCATCCCACCCCACTCTCTTTATAAACCTGCATAATATTGATTTTAGATTTCATGCAGTACAAAGATATAAATGCATATATATATATATATATATATATCGCAAAATATGTTTAGTTGATAATGAAAAATCATTAAAACATGTGCATCATTTTTATTTCACAAATAAATAGATAAATTAAAAAGTAAAAAAAAGAAAGAAAGAAAGAGTGAATCAACATGGGAGAAATCTCAATTTTTGAAACTACATCTAGATCCTGGTTAGATTCCAGTTATAATTAATTATAAGATATAAAATAAAGCTATGATTTTTTCTTTAAAATATTATTCAAAGATCCTTATATTTCAAAATCAATCAATTACTATAAACCAAAAACCAAGCAACATTTTACTCTTTTGCATCACTTCCATTGGCATTAAATGCATTACTAGCGGAAAAAAAATAATTTCTTATTTTTCTTCATGAGCTCAAGATCATGAGTGTATACAAAAGTGACTGCTTTTAAGTCAACCAAAAAAAAAAGTGACTGCTTTTAAAATTTTGAATAAATGATATAAGTATTTTTATTAAAAGAATATTTGATACGACATATTATGAATTTCTAATATATGTTTTTCAAAATTAAATAATTTAATTTATTTAATTATCGATTACGTAAAACATGTGCTACTCCTAAAGTGATTTTCTCTTTAGATTCCATGATTTATAACCTCCTTTGACGTTGACACAGATCTGCTTTTTTGTCGTTTAGCTGCAACAAGTTAGCATCCATGTTCCCTACGCTTAGGGGAGCATTACTTAAAAAGATTAACTGTTTTTAAGACTCCATAACACCTGAAAAGGACAATGTAAGGGAAACAGGCTAACCAAAATTCATCAGCAAAGTTTAATGATAGTGAAAGACTGAAAGGGTATAAAAAGAATTGTGGGACCCACAAAAAATAATGAACCCTTATAAACCCCCCCCCCCAAAACAATGATGCTATTTATTATGAGAAGTGGATCGGTGAGGTTATAATTATGGATCCAATACAATTTAAAGCATTGAGTTTAAGCAAAGTTTGCTAAACTAAGAAAGAGAAATAAAAATGAAAAATAACTAAACCTTTTAACCTTTTTCTTAAATTTGGTATATAATCCACTCAACTTGATCATTTGTTAATTTTAGGTGATCTTGATCATGAGATCTCAAAATTATGAAAGCAACAATATCACCAACATTAATTAAAAATAATGAATTTATCATGTTCATGCTTTTAGTTAGCTTAAAGTGTAATTTATTGTTTAGAAAAAATAAATAAATGAGAACAATTATGGTTGATAAAATCAACAAAGTTTCTTCTACTAATCAAATGCGGCAGAACTGTCATTGCATTAAAAAGAAAGAAAATCTTGTTAAGAAATCATAAATGAGAGTTATTTTAATTGAAAAAAAGGCCAGCTGCTTTGTAAGCTTTTATTATTATTTTTTGTTACCTTGAGCTTGCTCTGGTGTAGAAGCCAGCATTAATGGAGCTACCACCTCCCAAAACCCTAGCTCTGGCATTAAGAACACCATCAGTGGAAACGAAGTACTGGGAAGCTGAAGTTGGTGAAGTATCAGCCAAAGTGATATGAAAGTTCTCCAGAAATGACACATTAGGGTTTGTAAAAGGGACACCCCCTCTTTCAAGAAGCAAAACCCTGAAGTTTTGGGACAATGTTGAAGCCAGAGGGCAGCCCGCTGTTCCACCTCCCACTATTATATAATCATAAGCATTGTTGCTTGGTGTTGTTGACGACGACGATGACGAGGAGGAGAATGAGCTTGCCTCTTTCAGAAATGGATATCTGTATTTGTTATACCAGTTCTGATCGTCACCTGCAGGCAGGAGAAATGTCACAGTCATTTTTTTTATAATCACATTATAAGCTTTTCGAGGTTTTTTTTCTGCTTTCAATTGAACAATTTTTGGATCCAAACTAAAAAGGAAAGAAAAATCAAAAAGTGGGATTGCTGGATTGCTGTTAAGAACGTAATGTGTTTGATTTAGTGTCACAATGAAACAGCATTTGATGATCTTCATGGACGCAACGTAACCCTTTAATTAATTATTAGACTTTCAGTGACATGTTGTCTGGTTTATCGCTTGTTTGATTTAATGCCAGAAAGAAGCAGCATATGATCATCATCCTTAAAAAGACAAACCATTATATCCTTTCAGCCACACTTTGTTCAATTTCTGACTTTTTCACGAGTTTCTGTTTTGACTGAAACGGAGTTAAAAAAGAAGCAAAAGAGAAAACAGAATCACAAAGAAGAAGAAAAAGAAGAACAAGACAGAAAGCTGGCTATGGTATAACTAGCTGGATATGGCAAATAGAGACAGCACAAGATCATCGTCACATCATAAACAAAACCTATTAGGCTTGCACGCTCACATTTCGTCAAGTTGGCTCCTTTCTTAATTCGTTTGTCTTTAACAAAAGGTTGGGACAAACCCAAAGAAAATTACAGGCTAAAAGAGGAAAAACATAAAGCTAGCCATAAAGCTTATGGCTCTGTCTGGCTTTCTGTAAATTGCAGTGAAAAGCATGGCGTGTCTGATTTAATGCCAAGATCAAGAAGCATAATAAAGTTCTTTTTATCAAAACAAAGAAGGACTCAGGTTGATCTGCAACATTCCCAATAAGCCAATAACAATGTAGAGAAGAGTTTTGGAGTTTTCCTTTTTAGCCTTGAAAACTGAGGACTCTTTAACTTATAAAAATGTAATGAAAGTTAGCATTCTGCAGAGGAAAGCCTTGAAAACAGAAGCAGAATGAAGGTAGATAAGAAGAAGACGACCCAATTTTTTTTCCCTTTATATAGTTTTTTGGGTAATGAGGAAGAAATAGAAGAGGAGGAGGAGGAGAAAGCACCTTGGCAAGGAGGGAGAGAGAACACAAGCCAGAGGAGTAATGAGCGGAGGAAGAAGTTGACTGCAGCAACAGAAGCCATTGAATCTCAGAGGGCAGAGACTGAAGAAGGTGTTCCTTTCTCCTCTCTAAGTGGCTGCCTCTGGTTGGCCTTGTTTTGTGTGTTCCCTCTCATATAAATACTTCAAACATAAATTATTAAAATATTATTGTAGAATAACTGATTCGTTTTACACCATCCTTCTTTCATATTTGACTAATTTCCATCGTCTGTATTCTTCTAACAGGACTTGTCCTAAACTTGTTTTCTTCCTTCCAAATCCATACTTATTATGATTAAGTAGTGATTAGAATTTGAACCCTTTTAATATAACATGAAAGGTACATTTTAACAGTAAATTAAGATGATGTTATATTTTAAATAAAAGCAGTATGTGCTTAGCCGTGAATGTTGCTGTGAAAGCGTTTGTCAGAAGATACTAATATATTATTGGCAAACAAAAGAAGATACAATTAATACAGGTTAAGTATGATTATGACATATTCTATATGAGATCACTTTGAAAATATTTGGATTTGTTGAATTTGGATGTATGATGGAGATTATGGGAGTCACTGTAACTTGTAAGTTCTAAGAAATGAGGATATATAAAGGCAGCAATAAATAATGAATATGAATAATTGTAAATGATACGTGAAGAAGTTAGCCGCTTCTTAAATTGAGGCTGGAATGAGTAGGAAGGAATTGTGGGAATTAGTGGGGATTACATAATAATAATAATAATAATAATAATAATAATAATAATAATAATAATAAATATAAGATCCAATTAACTAATTTAGATAAATTAAATATGTTAGTTAAATTAGTTAATATGATTTTTTTTAAATACTCTTGAGCATCTTTCTTATTTTCTTCCTCCCTCTCCTAATTGATTATTATTAGAAAAATATCAATAAGATTAATTTTTAAAAAATGATAAATATGTAAACCTCAATTAGATTCTACGTTAAACAATAGTAAGTGAAACAAATTAAAGAAGGAAAGGAAAGAAATTCATAAAAGAAGAGGAAGCGGATAGAGAAGAATTAAGAAGAGCGAACGATATTAGGGGAAGGCCATTAATGACGAAATGAATACTTCTGCCACGTGGAATACCTCATGGCCGTCAGATCTGCCACTGCCTCCATTTTGTACAACGACAGTTCACTTGCCCCTTCGCCCTGCTTTCAAAATATCCTCCATAGTTATTGTTTCCCCCCTCTGTGACTGTACCTGTTCCTCTTAGCTATCCTTCTTATAATTAGTTCTAATCATCTTGTTAAAAATTAGTACTTTCTATCTCTAATATAAAATTTCATTTAATTTTTATTTTGATTTTAAATATAAAATTTTAATTTACTTTATTTATCATATTTATTCATTATTTTTCGAGATAATTATTCTAATAATAGTAGTTCTAACCAATAAACTTAATTAGTAACGATATTTTAAGAAAGACAGCAACTATTTATTATAAATAACTAACTTAATTTATTTTATTAATCTATTTAAATTAGTCAACTAATTTTTATATTTAGAATAGTACTCTTTTGGTCCTATTTGTAAATCACTTTTAATATGTTTTATATTGACCAATAAAAGTCTTAAATTTCATTAACTTATATTTAAAATTTAACAATTTTTTTAATTCTATTCCTATTTAATATACAAAATACCTCATAAGAATAAAGTAAATACAATAACAACTAAAAGATGAAATTATACATTCATGTGAAAATTTTCTGCCTCTACCTCATAAATAGAACCAGAAGAGTCATAAGAAGAGTTGGTTTTCATTAATTCCAAATTTATCCATATTTTTTCCAACCAAAATTAACCCATATTTAGTAACAGAAATACATTACATCCTCGAAATCATAGGACTGGCAATTAATGAGATTTTAGTTAGAGATAATCTTTTAAAACCAATGGGGTTGGGAAGGGGTCCCTCACAATGTGACGAATTAAGGTTCGAATCCCCGCTGAGAGAGGTGCCCATATTTAGTGCCTGACAGTGCCTCGAATAGAATTACCTCCAATAGAAAGATATCTATGCTTTAACAACAAAAAAGAGATAATCTTTTTTAAAAAATAATATAATTAATATACCCTATTTGGTAATTTACAATAAGGAATAATAAAGTACCTGAAGGAATATATTTCCATTGATAATAAGATATACTTTGCGGTTGTTAGAATATTTAAATGCATTTTTATCAATTTTACTCTTAGCTAATTTTACTATCTTTTTTTCCCCCCATATATTGTCTTTTTCCCCCGTTACTATTTCTCTCTCCCCCTTATCCGCTTATAAATAGAGGCATGTTTAAGAAAAATACATTTCTTACACATTTAGTAGTGCTAATAGATAGATTTGCTAAATCACACAATTCAGTTATTTAATAAATTATAACAAAATTGGAAAGTCGAATACTTCTAACTACCTTGCTAATAAAATTAAGAACAGGCAGTTGAATTCAGTATTTATTTGGATTGAAACAATATCATAATAAAGCTTTTTAAGTTTACCCCAATACCAAATCCTACAAGTTGTGACTTGTAAGCATGGCTGATTTTACACCACGCGCATAATATTCTCTTCTCATTTATAAGGTGAAAATTCGAAATCTCTCTTCAAAACATATTGAACTGGTGTTTCTCCAACTGTTATAAATATAGGAATTAATGGAGTGGTTTTTTTTTTTGAGAACAAAATGGAGTGGTTTGTTTTTTTCCCCTGCACATACGTAGAAGGCAATTTTATTCAAGACCTTATTGAGTATTAAATATAAACACATCTTTTAATATGGATTTGAACATTAGTTTACAGACTCAACCCTATTGTAAATTGAGTGGTTTGTTTTAATTCTAAATAGAACACTCAAATTCATTTACTTTTCTAAATTTATAATAAGGGAATTTTCATTATAGTTAATTAAAGTGGCATTTTTCCTTTTGAGTACAGGCTAATGTCTATTTTGGTTGCACAGAACTCTACAAAATCAACATATAATTTTTATTAATAATTAATTTATTCAATTTTTTAATTTTATAAATTAATTTTTATCTAATCTAACCCAAAAACATCATTGTCATACATTAGTGAGAGTAATACTATTCCAGTTTTAATTATAAGACTTCGTTTATATATTATAAATAAATTTTTAGGCTGGGGCTCGAGTTAGTATCCTGTGTGGACAACTGCGCGTAGACGCGTGCCATATAAGCATTAGGTAGCCACCGACCCGTCTTAACCGGCCCCTCCCCACCCCGTCTCACACCAAACTTCGTCTTATAAGTCGAAACCATTTTTCATATTACCACCTTTTTTTTTGTGTGGCTATAATATGATATACTCCCTCCGTTTCTTATTATAAGAGACGAATAACTGAATTACGTTGATCAAAAAAACAGTTAAAATTAGTTAAGAACAATTAATGTGCAAAAAGTATAATTTTTTTTTTCAAAAATGCCCTCATTAATAAGGAGAGAGAGCATGAGAGAGAACAATAGTAAATTCTTAAAAGAAAGAGAAGTGGGAAGGAGAGAGAGTGTGAGTTGGAGACAATAAATATGGGTAAAATAGGAAATCAACACAAAAAAGTAGAGACAACTTTTAAGTGTCTTTTATATTTAGGAACATACTATAAGCATCAAATGTCTCTTATAATAAGGAACGGAGGGAGTACTATTTTAAATATTAATGATGCCAGAAAAATACGATATATATTATTAATGATTGATATATGACAGGTCAAAATAAAAATCGAAAAGCAAATTGGTAGGCCCATTATACTGGACTATTTCTTTTTCGAGTCTGATGCCCTTCCATCGATAGTAGGTTTTAATAATGATTGTTGATATCCCAGGTATACAAAATAGGAAAAATTATAATTAAATCCCATATCAGGGAATTAAATACAAAAAATTCTCTTGAAATTATAAAATTATTTTGAAGTGTTATGGGATTTTATTGTAATAAATTTTATTTGTTTAATTACCCCAAATTACCTCTTTTTTTTTAGTTTGTATTGATAACTAAAAGAGCAGTAGTTGACAACTTAAAATGTAAGGATTGACAACTATTACGGTAGGTATTGCCAACTCATGCATTAAATTTTGTGATGTGCTAAGAAAATGTGCTGTCAATACCTGTCACGATAGTTGTTAATTTTTACACCTTAAGTTGTCAACGACTATTCTTTCAGTTATCAATACAAATTTAAAAAAATAATAAGGGTAATTTGGTGATGAAATAAATAAAATTTATTACAAAAAAATCTTTTGGAATTTCATAATAATTTCATGATTTCAAAAAAACCTTTTTGTATTTAATTCCCTTAAGTGAGACCTAATTGTAATTTTTCCTAAAAATAACAATAATCATATCAAATTTTTAAAATTTTTGAATGTTCTGACCGCACAGGATTGTGTGTTAGATTTTTAAAATATTATCATTACATTATAAACCCACAAGAAAAAAAATAGATAACTATATATGATTAGAGAACCTGAAATAACGAATATATAAGGAAGTTGACATAAGTATTTTTTTTCAAAAAAATCCACATATATTTTTATTTATTTAAATAATAGTAATGTTTCAACAAAAACTTAATAACTTCAATGCCCCGTGAGCGTGGGGGAAGGCGGGCGGGAAGCCATTTAATGCATGTGCACGATCAAGCTATGCCCTCAAATCTGCATTCAATATTTGCTTCATTTTGAAAAAAAAAAAAAAAAAGCTGAACAGTAACTTAATTCATATAGTTTCATGATTTAAAATAAAATAACTCCTTATAGTGTTTTTTTTTTCCCTGACTCGAATCATTTTCTTTTTTTGGCCAAAGCTATGATTCTATATATAGCTAAGAGGAAAGCCATTTGCTCATTTCAAACTTTAAAATCACTAAAATGCTCTATTTTATACACATGAAATTTCAAATTTTAAATGAACTATATATACATATCATTCATGCAAACAATGTCTGATTTTTCATGCTTTTATTATCACAGACGAAGAGGTAGGACTTATATGGGGTAAAAAGAGAGAGAGAGAGAGAGCAACCATCCCCTTTCTTGTTTTTGATACTTTTCTCAAAGTACTATATCCATATTGAATCATCCAAATATATAAAACAATAATGACACATTATTAATTTAATTGTTACATTTTTTTTTTGCTTTATTAAAAAAAGATCATAAAGAAGTTCAACTTCAACCTGAAACTATAAAAGTGACAGCTAGCTCATTATAAATTGGCTGTCCCAAACTGCTGTGTGCCATCTAATGCTTTGCTGCTTCATAGGTTGAATGCTTAAACATAAAAACATATCTGCTTCAATTGCTATTCAATTAAAGACGTACGGTTTTGCAGTGATTCACATTAATGACCACCCCATTTGGATCGGATTGCATTGTGCCCGCTCTAGATTCACACACATATATTCATCACATACAGTTAGTTAGGTAGAGTAGTTAATTCTTTCATCACTAGTATTTACCAACCTTTTCTCAACATCTTCAAAATTTGGTGGTTCAACTCTTATTCCCATGCCTTTGACTCAAAGCTACTATTCAATAAGTTTGTGCTTTGTAATGAGATGTGAGATTTTGTGTTAGAGAGGAAACAAAAGACAAAAAGTTGTTATGGGGCGTTTGCAGAAGTAAGGAGATCGTATTACTATAAAATTTGAATGACAAATAAACAGCGTAAAACTATTGTTATTTCATGCATTGAACCTTGTGATTGTATGTTCAACGGTTGTTAACGGACTTTTGGATGATTCAATCTCTTCTTTTTTGGGACATGATAGTAATTTCAATAAATCTCACGCTACAAAAGTAAGAGACTGTAAATTAGAGCAATATGATTTTTTTTTTTGCCAGCAGAGCAATATGACTTGTTTAAAATAATTCAAAATGGTGATGATACACTACTAGGATCATGTCCCAAGTGTTAGCAGATTTAATAGAGGCATGTACTTAACGGTCGTGCATTAATGCTGGCATATGGGCTTGTGTAGTGTTTGCGAGGGAAAACATACACAACTTGAAAAGCTGAATGCCATCTTCATCTTTAATATAAGTCACTTGTTACATACTACCTTCAGTCCTTAATATAAGATCTAATAGACTAATTTAAAGAAATTAAAAAAATTAGTTAAGTTAGTTATTTGTTATAAATATATATTATCTTTCCTAGTTCTACTTTTACTAATCATGTATGTTAGCTATAATTACTATTTCATGAAATATTTAACATGTGTAACTATTACAAGAATTACGTCGAAAAAATAAATAAATATAAAAAGACAAAATAGATCGAGGTCTTATATTTATAACCAAATTAAAAGTTAAATAAGTTCTTATAATAAGGAACGAAGGTAATATTATTGCATATTAGAAAATATATTAAATTAATAAAAAAATTTAATTTTACCCTTATTACAGTTTCTCTCTATCTGATATTTACAAATTATTTTCATATCGGATCCTTTTTTTTTCTCTTTTCAACGGGAATTAAATAAAGGTAAAATTAGAAAACAAACACTAAACATGCTGTAAATGATTTACATTTAGAACCAAAACTTCTCGCTACAAGCAGCTTATATTTAGGACTAAAATGAAATATAAGAAGCCAATATCACTAAAAAACGTCGGTGGACAGGACAACAACTTTTGTTCTCACTTGAGCAAGATCATGTTAAGAACAAAATGGGAAGAACATTTGGCTTTCGACCTATTCAGATGGAAACAGTTTAATGTTTGAAGAAAAAAACACAAGTTGAAGCAATCAGATTCAGATGTTGCTTGCTGGAAAAAGACGACTGCAACGCCATTAATGGTCCCCCTTTTGTGAGGTACAAGGTGTTTTGTGGTTAATAGAGTTAGCTAGAGAGGATTATGAGTTAGGCAGAGAAGATTACTAGCACAAATAGAGGATTATATTTTAGTGAATGTATCGGGCATTATAAGTAGTCCATACCTCGCAATTTAACTTGAGTTACTGTGACATAACAGTTTTATCAGCAACCTTAACAGTAATAACAAGCAGAACCTATATCTTCTATCACACAGAAACAGAATCCAAGGATACAAAGTCTTGCCCACAACTTGGGACTCAAGGGCCAGAAAAATCCGTACGATGAATTTAAGTTTCTGAATACCATAAATCCGTGACGCCCCCCAACCATCAAGTCTGAAATTAATGGGGTCCAACCACAAAAAGAATACGACTTTCCGACTTCCTCTAAGCAATTTACTGGATTGATAAATCAAAATCAACTCTTTTAACTCACATCCATATATACTAACTCCGGCCCTAATTATAGCCAAAACTGAGTATGCAAACCAGCAAAACCATCAAACTATCTAAAGCACCTAAATTTGATCATAGAAAACTATATAATGGGCTATTCCTAGGAATGAACTTTGCGTGAATAGTAGGTGGAAGAATGTTAATAGACATAGAGAGCCCTTGAGCCCACAATTTTTTTACAAGACATTGGATTGCAAATGTGGACACTGCACTACTGAAGCGCCCTTGATGGCGTGGATTCTTCCCTTTTCTAAACTAATTGACCAAAACACCAAAGTTATTGAAGATAACTTAAAAAAAAAAAAAAGAAGGAGGTAAATTTATATCATGTGAAGTATCAATTTTAGCACAAACCTTCATTCCTCAAATAGCCTTGAATTAATATTTCCAATTTCAGTGATGGATAACGCAAACGCATTTATCTCTTTTTTTTTTTGTGGCAACATCTTTAAATCACCAACGTAATCTATGGAGAAAAGCATTGCATTCACATATCCAGATGGTTTCAATTTTCAACATCAGAGAGAAAAAATATACATTGATTTTCATTCATCATAATATGTGATTAGATTGATCTATAGCATATATAATAAATAAGAACCAATGGTAACCAAGTGGCGCAACAAACTGATAATTAGCCAATAATAAATCTAGGTTTTGGTAAGTTAACAGTAACTTCTGAGTTTCACCCAAAATTTGTCCTTACATATATAACTTCACACTTCTTTTATGTGGCAAGCTACTACCTGGCCAAGGGAGAGAATTCTGTGCTTGTCATATTCAGGGACACTAATTCAACTGAGTCACCTGTGTTAGCACCATTGTGTTTGGTTCTTGCTACTTCTGTTGCCAAACACTCCTTTAGCTCATTCACTACCTCACTCATGGTTGGCCTGTTGTTGGGGTTTGAAGATACACAAGTCATTGCCAATTCCACAGCTCTCCAAGCAGAGTTACTATCAAACTCTCCGCTTAATCTTGAGTCAAAAATGGCCTTGATATCCCCCTTAGCAACCAAGGAGCTAACCCAGTGACTTATGTGAGTTTTCTCATGGTTTCATGATATGACTGGTAGGCTTGTGATTATTTCAAAAAGAACAACTCCAAAGCTATGGACATCACTTTTCTCCGTCAATCTGTTTGTTATGTAGTACCTACAAGGCAAATAATATATATATCTTAAAGCGTGTTTATTTTTACAGGGATGCATTGGTTATTTTCAATATAAAATCAAATATGCACTTAGAATAACTTAGTCTCAATATCATTTTTCTTTTTTTGTGACACAAAAACATAAAAGGTTGAGCAAGGTAATTATTGGAAGGACTTACTCAAGGTCTATATAACCAGGAGTACCTGCAACAACAGTTGACACATGAGTTTCATCATCAGTTGGAATGATTTTAGATAGACCAAAGTCTGCTACTTTTGCTCTGAAGTTTTCATTCAGCAAGATGTTTGAAGATTTTACATCTCTGTGGATTATAGGGGGCTTACATCCATTATGCAAGTACTCTAAGCCTGAGCAAAAATTTATAGAAAATACCACTAAATTAGAAAGATTTGAGAAATGAAAATTGAAGACACAAGTAACTTGTTTCATATTTTGACCTAGTGCTGCGTCCAGTGCTATACAAAGTCTGTCTTCCCAAGTCAAGAACTTTGATCTGCTACTTTTTCCTGCAGAATCAAACTGCATAACTTTCTATACTTACTGTTTTCCATTCCTAGACTATTAGTTGTTTGAAAAAGGATCTGCACCGACAAACCTGAAAGGTACTCTTGTAAGTTACCATTAGCCATGTACTCATATATGAGCCCCTTGTTGGTTTCATCATTGCAATACCCAAAAAGGGAAGTAAGATTTCTGTGATGGACTCTCAATAAAAGTTTAACCTGAAAAGCAATATCACATCCATGCTTAAACATAAAAAAAATGCTATTCGATTAAAAACTCATGTAATTTTGGTTTGTTGTTCATTTCTACCTCGGCTTGGAATTGCTGATAGCCTTGAACTGATGAGGAAGAGAGCATTTTAACTGCTACAGGAGTTTCCTCGATGTAACCCAAATAAACTGTTCCAAACCCACCTTTTCCGAGAATTGTACTGAAGTTATTGGTCATTTTGAGGACATCATAGTATGAGTATTGTCTATTGATGACTTGCAGAGATGTGTCTTTTGGTTCTTCAACTTTTTCAAATTGCTGTGAGATCTCAATTGGACCTGTTCCTGATTTGAGATCATAAAAAAGCTTGTCGTTGGTTGTTTTACATCGTCAACCAAAATTGTGTTTGTGTGTATATGTGAATCATAAAGAGCAGCATCACCTCTTTGTTTTCGCCTTTTAAGGGTAAAAAATATGATTACCGCGGCTACCAGAAGGAATAGAGTTCCAACAATTGACACTACTACGGGAATAGTAGTGTTGTTCTTTTTCTTGTTGTTGCACGAAGCAGATTCACATAGATATGGATTTTGTCCAAAACTAGCATATAGAGAGACACATAAGTTATTGTGTTCATTTGTCAATAAATATTGGAAGTACTCTATAGCTTTATCTTAGAAATCAATAAATGTCCATGAACTGGTTGTTAATTTCAATATTCAGTTGGGGATGGAAAAGGGATGAATGTCTAATAAGGAGAGGAGGGTAACTTATGTACAATATGAACATTCATGGGCTATGTGTTCTAAATTCATGTAAAAATAATATGTTGGACATTAGGATTTCAATAAGAGTCGTACCTTAGGGATAGGGAACCTTTCTTCGACTTTTCAACCAGATCAGAGGGAACTGTACCCGTGAAGTTGTTGCCGTCCAGGGTTCTACAAAAGTAGTCAAGCTATAACATCCATTTCAATTTTCTAACCTTTGATATCTGACAACAAGCAACTTACAGGATCTCCAATTTTCGTAGTTGAGACAAAAAATTAGGCACTGGTCCACTTAAGGAATTGTTTGATAAATCCCTGAAACAAGAAATTTTCAGCCAATTACTGATAGATTGTTAATAAATCAATGAGAACATTCTGAAAGAAAGGTTAGAGCACACTAGAATGAAGAATACGCACAACTTCTCTAGCATGGTGAGCTTTGAGATGGACGGATCTATCTGCCCTATCAATCCACTCGAGGACAAATTCCTGGTATGCATTTCCAATATTATTAATTAGGAGTTATAATTCAATTTTCATAAAGTAGTAACATTAATTTCGGGAAAACAAGCTTACAGGGCTGTGATTCTTGGGGAATTCAGGCCATTATAAGTACAGTTTAGACCTTCCCAAATGTAGGCCATAGGACCACATGGATCGCCTTGCCAGTTTCTTGTTACCTCATAAGAAGATTTGATTGTTGAGATTGCATCAACTATTTCTCAAAAAAGCAAGTTAGTCTAAATTATGTAACTTTTTGACCAGATTCTTTGAAAAACTAAATAATTTCTTGGAGGAATTCTGTCCATAAAATGGAAGTAGCCTAACTCAATCACAGAGAAACAGATAACATGCATCTGTAGAAGTTTATGTTTGCAGAACATACCATCTCCTTGTTCTGTTTCTGATTGTGAAAACTCTTTAAATGTATAAACTTCAATAGCGTTGAGAATGGGAGGGAGGGTTGAATTATCAGTCTTCTGAAGTGAAAACATAATTATTTCTCCGCGGGCAGCTTTTTTGCTGAATACAGTGGTCGTGCCTTTGAATACAGGTACAACATTAGCACTAAAGAGATCGCCATTGAGGGTAATGGTGAAGGATCTTGTCTGATTATTTTCTAAGACTTGAAGCTCTGCAAAATGCATGTAAACATAGAATTGGTCTGTTGCATTCGCGGGCTCCCACTGCACTAACATTGGAGCACTCTCATTTACTGGTGTGGCTGCATTACTCATAACAATGGCCGGTGGTTTGTAATGATTTTGACCCAAGGATTCTGCAGAAATTGAAGCACTTATTCGCGACCAGGCCGGGTAGTAGACTTGACTTGACCAGAAGCGATCATAACCATCATCATTATACCTGTTTTAAAGTTATTCTCTCATCAGCTTTGCAGAATTTTTGGATGTAAAGATAGAGTGAAGGATGACAAGTGTAATCTTTCCTCTGTAAGGAAAAAGCTACTTCAAGTCAATGAAAAGCTAGTTAAACAATTGATTTAGAGAATGAAAATAGCTGCTTAGTCTTGCATAAAAGAGAACCTTAATGCAAAAGACTAATTTTTACATAACAACATGTTCAATAAAACCAAACCTTTAGAGAACAACTGAACAAACTCTGTTGAAAGTAAAAAAATTAAAGGATTTACCTGTATGTTTTATTGCTGGTTGAGCCTAAATCCAACCTCTTGTAAAGTGACAAGAATCCTGAGTGAGTGTCATAAATATTGTTGGCCAAAGTCCTTAATTCTATAGCAGAGACAAATGGGGTTCCGGAGCCTGTGTCAACCAGACAGATCTGAATGTAATCTCGTAATGGAACATGTATGATCTCAGGGCTTACTTCAGATGATGGATTGGTTATTTCCACTGTTTGCCACAAGCTAGGCCCAAGATGAAGATCAAAACTTGGTAACTTATTCTGTCTATCATAATTCCCATGCACAAAAATAGCCCTGATCAGATATTTAGAGCCATTTGTGATGTTTATATTGTAACAGTTTCTTGTTCCTTGAGGAAAGCTTCTCAGGTTCCAAATTTGCTGTTGATACTTACTTTTGATATCACTGGCTACGGAGTAACTCACTCCAGAATTTATGAACTTGTCATCGGATATGTAATTTATGCCTGTCGTCCCCTCAATGTAGTTGGAGTTGGCAGGTGCCCCACAATCAATGCTTATGAATTCTGAAACATAGAGGCAAACGTTAATTCTTACGAATTAGTTATAAATATAAGCTTATGAGTTTGTAGCGGCAAATTACCTGATTGATCCTGAGATTGAACCAGAACTGCAAAAACCAGACAACCTACAAGAGAAGAGAAGAAACTCTTTGACATTCCCATCACTTTCTGCTGAGGAAGACAAGAATGTGAGCGACATTGTTATTACTTATACAAGAAAAAAAAATACCGCACTCATGTGCCGCGGTCAATGTCATCATCCTGGGGACAAAAGTTTCCTTCTTGTAAAAATTCTTAAATGGATTTGTAATTTGTTTATTAAAAATAGGTAGACTAAAATCAATCACAGGCAGAAATGTATATAGGGAAAATCCCAGGAAAATACCCTTAAAATATTTATATGACAACTGAGAAGCTCAAATTTCAATAATCCCAGAAAACTAGTTTTCTTTGTCCCAACTTACTTTCGAGGCTTCCTCACACCATCTCAAATATGCACTTAGATTGATGCACCCGAATCACCAAACGCAACTTTTATCGCATCCAATTATCTCTTCATTACCTCTTATAGTAATTTATTATAATCACTTAACATTTCTACGTACTTTTCTACATTTTAATCTGTCCTACAAGAAAAAACATTTATACTTTTCAGTAAGAGTTGGTTTCAAATTATAATGTCGACGTACGCAACTAATTCATTGGTTAGATGAAGGCCATAGTTCAAGTTGAAAATTCAACTGTATTAAATGCTTCTCTTCTTTCGAACCTATCTTTTCTTATCAAAAGTTGTTATATAAATAATTAAGACATCGTTGATTTAGTAGTCAAAAGTCATGATACATAAGGGTGATGCCTTTTTTCATATTCCTAGAAATCGTTTCTCCCAAAAAGTCCGTTTCTAACTAAACTGCCTTAAAATTAAAGTTCATTTCTGACTGCAATACATTCAACAAATCAATTCATTAGGTGGTGCCCCTAATCTTAAGGTTGAAAGTTTAGATATGATTTTTATACGTTAAACCAATCAAAATCATGAAATAGTATTTTGATCGGTTTAATAGCTGGTTCCAGGTAAGGCATGAGAAAATATGTTTACTCAAATAAATGAATGAAAAAACTTGTAATAAATTTGAAAACTTAATTAGTTGTCCAAGACAATATTTTTGCAATAAAAGAGGTTAAGCAAGAGATTTTCTCTTCAATTATTTAAGTGAGGGAAGAGATAATAAAGGTAGAATGAATCAGATAAACCTCAATTATATTCTAATGGTCTCTTAGTAGCTTAGGTTTTGTTCATAGCTCAATTTAAAAATAATTATTAAAAGTAGGTTGATAGTCTTTATTTTTTTAATTTATTTTATTTTTCTAAATTATATTTATTTTAAAAATTGATCTATTTCTTTAATTCCCATCCCCACATTAATTACTAGTGTCACTCTCCTTTTCCCAAAAAAAAAAAAAACTACTAGCATTTCTTTTAACTTTCCATTAATTTCTCTTTTGCCAATTGCCATAAGTACATGAAGGGTACATATTTGCAAGAAAATATTTAATACTTTTTAGATCCTCTTATCCTCTCAAGTAACTTAAATGAAAATAAAGAGAAAATACTCCTCCGGTCCTTATTATAAGACCCAATTTGACTTTTTATTTGGTCCTAATTATAAGACCCAATCTATTTTCTCTCTTATATTTATGCATTTTTTTCCAAAATAATCCTTCTAATAATGATAGTTTTAGCCAATATACTTAATTAGTAAGGATATTTTAGGAATAACAACACTTATTTATTATAAATAACCAACTTAACTTACTCCCTTAATCTCCTTAAATAAGTCAATTGGGTCTTATAATTAGGACCGGAGGAGTATAATTTTTGGTTTTTAAACTTTCCCTTAATCATAGATTTAGCTCATGAACTTTGACTAAGAACCACTCAGGTCCTACAATTTCTTAGCACAAAATAACTCAAATTTTATAGTTTTTTTTTTGGGACTCATCAGCGCAACCCAATCTCTCCAGTTTGTTAACTGGATAAATTATAAAAATTGAGTTGACTGAGTTAAAGTTTGAAGACTAAATTGATAATCAAGGAAAAGTCTTCTCTCTCTCTCTATATTGTGTATGTCCAAATTGATACTACCTCAGGTCTTAATTATGATATCTCGTTTGTAATCTATAAATGAGGTCTATCAGAAATAATATAATGGGATCATTACATATTACTAATTAAATGCCAGAATGAAAAAAGAATAAAGCAGTTCAACTTCAACTTGAAGTTGTAACAGTGAGCTCATTAGTAATTGGCTGTCCCAAGCTGCTCTGCCATCTAAATGCTTTGCTGCTTCATTCATTGGGTGAATGCATACACATAGCTGCTTCAATTGCTATTTTATTAAAACAATGATTAATTTTGCAGTGGTTCACATTAATGAGTGTGAATTACAGCAATTGGCTTGCTTCAAATAATTTAAAGTCGTGCTGATACACTACTGGGATCATGGCCCCAAGTGCCAACAAATTTAATGTGTGAACAATGCGTGCATTCATGCTGATATAAGGGACGAGTATTGTACCCAAGTCCCTGTGGCCTATTGATGTTAATGCTTCCGTATAAGTAAAAAGTCATAGGTTTAATCTTACTTGTAATCTGGCTTATAATTTATCCAAGAAGAAAAAACAAACATTTATACTTTTCAGCAAGAGTTGGTTTCAAATTATAATGTCGATACACACAACTAATTTATTGGTTAGATGAAGGTAAAAACTCAGGTCGAAAATTCAAACTATATTAAAGTCATTACCTATAAATAATTAAGACAAGGTTGGCTTAGGAGTCAAAAGTCATGAGACATGAGGGATCGGAGATGCCTTTTTTCCATATTTGTAGAAATTGTGACTCTTAAAAGTCCATTTCTAATTTAGGTTTGTTTAAAATCACATTTGGAATCACCTGTATAAGTTAAGAGAAAGTTTCTTTAACTCATAAATGATGATTGAAAAACTGGTTACAAGTCATTACAAGACAAGATTGACTCAGGAGTCAAAAGTCATGAGACATAAGGGATCAGAGATGCTTTTTTTCATATTCGTAGAAATTGTGGCTCTTAAAAGGTCCATTCTAACTTAGGCTTGTTTGAAATCATGTTTGGAATCACCTATATAAGTCAAGAGAAAGTTTTTTTAACTCATAAATGACGATTGAAAAACTAGTTACAAGTCATTCCAAGACAAGATTGACTCAGGAGTCAAAAGTCATGAGACATAAGGGATCAGAGATGCTTTTTTTCATATTCGTAGAAATTGTGGCTCTTAAAAAGTCCATTTCTAACTTAGGCTTGTTTGAAATCACATTTGGAATCACCTGTATAAGTCAAGAGAAAGTTTCTTTAACTCATAAATGACGATTGAAAAATTGGTTGCAAGTCATTCTAAGACAGGATTGACTCAGGAGTCAAAAGTCATGAGATGTAAGGGATCGGAGATGCTTTTTTTCATATTCGTAGAAATTGTGGCTCTTAAAAAGTCCATTTCTAACTTAGACTTGTTGGAAATCATGTTTGAAATCACTTGTATAAGTCAAGAGAAAGTTTCTTTAACTCATAAATTACGATTGAAAAGCTAGTTACAAGCCATTCTAAATAGCTCTCAATTAGAGGTCCATTTCTGATTGCAATACATCCAACAAATCAATTCATTAGTGAAGACAATAGCATCAAGGATGAGAGTTAATCAAACGTCCGTTTTCCACTTTGACAGGTCATAAAGAGAAGAAAGAGAGAGGCTTCGATAGAGAAAGAGTGTGTGGGAGAGAGAGAGGTGCATCTGTTTGGTGTGAACTCAACTATATACAAATTTGGCACACAAAAAAACCTATATACAACCAGCAAATTTAGCCTTCATGGTAAATACATGAGGATTTAATTTGGAGGTTATGAGCTTCACACCAAAAACCTATATACAAAATTATATAAATAACTTCTTAAATGATTTGTATAATCATATTTATTTACTTTAGAAGACATCATATTTTAATATTTAATTAATATATTAAATTTTCATGCAATGGGGTTATGATATTTTAATATAACAAAAAATTACTAAATCGATGATAAAATTGTTACATTTTTTTAAAATATAAAAATTACATGTAAAAGTAGGTTCAAATAACACTATATTATGATGCTAGATATTTTTTTTAATTGTGACTTTTTTGTCAGAGAAAACGAAATACTACCTCCGGTCCTAATTATAAGAGTTAGTTGACTAATTTGAGGAGATTAAAGAAATAAGTTAAATTAGTTATTTATAATAAATAAGTGTTGCCTTTCCTAGAATATCCTTGTTAATCAAGTGTGTTGACTAGAACTCCCATTATTAGAAGAACTACCTTAGAAAAAAATAAATAAATATTAGAGATAAAGTAGATTGGAATCTTATATTTAAGACCAAAATAAAAATCAAACCAAGTCTTATACTAAGAATCGAAACTATTGTATAGCATGTGGGGGACATTGCTTTTGAGCGGGGTTAACATGAGACGATTAGACGCCGACCGGGAGAATCAGAAAGTATATGCATTCTGATATTTCTTTAAAGTTCTTACTGATTGTCAAATTGAATCCTTAAATTTATGCCTTTGACAAAAATGAGATTATTATAACAGATATTTATATTCTTTTTCATACAATTATTAATTAAATTTTGATTTTAGTTCCCATTGTTTTTTATCCTATAATTTCATAAGAATTTAATCTAAATTTAATAAATGGTCCTTATACTTTTAACCAATTTTAGTTTTAGTCTTTATATTTAAACCCCAACCAAATCTTTATAAACTTACAGAGAACCAAAACCAATAATTTGAAATTACAGAAACCAAAACTAAATTCTATCAAATTGTAAGGAGTAACAATAATACCAACTCATAGAAAAAAAACACGTTTAAAGAATTACCTCTATTATGTAGGGAGCCAAAATCTTCCCTCCTCTACCCTCATTTTATCTCTCTTCCAAATTAAGGTATTTTGGAAAGGAGCCAAGATAATTATATACTTACATTTTTTTCCAATTTTCCCTACAATTTTCTCGATAAATTGACATCATAGTATCATACTATTAAAATCACTAAATATTCATTCTAATAAAATATCAAAATA